TGTGAGTTTACAGAGCGAGATCCAGGACAGGCATCAAAACTACATGGAGAAACTCTGTCTAAAAGAAAAAGAATGCTTCTAAGAAAACTTTAAAAGTCATTATGGTATTATCAAGAATAGTCAATTCAGATTGTACAGAAAGAGAACACAACAGCTGTTGGTCTTTCAAAGGTACCAACCACCCTGTCTTTAAAATGGTTAATGGATAAACCTGGGGTGGGGCAGACAATGGCCTTTGACATCAGAAAAAGTACAAGAACTAGAATAGCTGGTACAAGAGCAGGTAAATGCTCAATATATTGAAGAATTGACCAGTCCTTTGAATGCTCCTATATTTATCATTAAAAAGAAATCTGGAAAATGGAGAATATAAACAGATTTAAGAGCCATAAATAAGGTGATTCAGTCAATAGTCTCTTTACAGACTGGAATTTCATTTCCTTCTTTTTTTCTTCATTGCCTTCTTTATTACCTAAGTGATGATCTATTATAGCAGCTGATTTAAAAGATTGCTTTATTTACTATACCTTTAAAAGAACCATATAAAGAAAAAAACTTGCCTTCACAATGCCTAATTATAATAATACTTAACCTGTTAAAAGACATTAGTCAGAAATTCTTCCACAAGGAGTGTTAAAAAAGCCCCAGTTTGTTTCAATATTTTGTATAACAGGCATTAGAAATAATTTATAAAGTTTCCTCTAAAATTTATTATTATATGTATGATATATTGCTGGTTGATTCAGAGGCAGATAATTTAGAAAAAATATTTGATGAAGTAGAGATAATTTTACATTGCTGGGGGTTACAAATTGTTCTTGAAAACATACAAAAAAGGAGATTCTATCAATTATCAAGGATGTAAGATAGGTTTACAAAAAACTCAACCACATAAAGTACAAATCAGGAGAGATCAATTACAAACTCTCAATTATTTTTAAAGTTTTCTGGGAGATATTAACTGGCTACAGACCACAATTGTATTAAACTACTCAAGAGCTAAGTAATTTATTTCAAACCTAACAAGGTGATAAGGACTTAAATAATCCAAGAAAATTATCAGCTGAGGTTGAGAGAGAATTGTTTCTGATAGAAAAGAAATTACTAGATGCATATGCAGATCACTTGGATCCAGAGCCCAATTATATTTTAGTTATTTTGCCTCCTACTCATAGGAATTCTTATGCAGAGGGAAAAGAATATCTTAGAATGTATATTTAGCACACAAAGAGAGTAAAAACTTAAAAGAGCTATATAGAATAGATTTCTGAAAGGAAAAATAAGACCTTGTTGATTAGCAGGAATAGACCCAGCAGAAACTGTGATACCTTTTTACTAATGCTGAAATTGTCTCATTATTGGCAGAAAATAAATGTTGGCAAATAGATTTGGAGGTATTAACAACAAATATCCCCAAAACAAGAGACTTCAGACTATAAAAAGAACTAATTGAATTCTCCCACATATAGTAAAAGGGACACCGATTTCTGGAGTTCCTACATTCTATACTGATGTAAATAAATCAGGAAGGGCAGGCTATAAGACAGGGAAAATAAGTAAAATGCCTCAAAGCCCTTATAATTCAGTTCAAAAATCAGAGCTATATGCCATCCTTATGCTATTCTTAGGTTTTCCTGAATCTCTTAATATAGTTACTGACTCTCAATACGAAAAGAGTTGTTTTACATATTGAAGCCACTGAACTTATTCCAGATGACTCAGAATTAACTTGTTATTCATTCAATTACAAGTAATCAGAAATAGAAAACATCCATTGAATATAACACATATCAAATCCCAAATGTGTCTACCAGGCACTCTAGCACAAGGTAATGATGAAATTGATCAGTGATTAATAGGAAATGTGCTAGAAGCCTCAGAATTTCAGATTAAAGAGAGCAGCCCTGGCTCTCTCTTTCTCTGTCTCTCTCTTTCCTATCTTTCTCTTCATCACTCTATTATAATATACTCTCCACATGGGAAAAAGAGATAGAGAAGCAGCCCTGAATCTATCTCTTGGTTCCTTTAAGAAATAAAGTCGTGAACAGTTTTTTAGAAGGGATACAGTGGGACAGTAATGAAATTTTAAAAAATCTATAAAAAATATCATGTGGTAAGCATGTGATTAGATAGGATCAGGGAGGGTAAGGGTATTCTCAAAAATAAACCAAGGTCATGTGTTGGGGAAGGTCAGGTTCCAGGAAACAGACAGCAACTCAACTCTCATAGTAAATAGAAACTTATTTTTAAAAATACACCATAATGGCTCCTGTCTTCAAAATGGAGTCAGGCAGATTTCTCATTCCATTCTAAGCTGGACCTAGCTGCCAGGTTCTCCCAGCATCCCTCAGTCCCTACATGTTACAGGGTATGGCTTGCACAACCCACCCTCTACCCTGAACTCTCCAGCCCAGAGACTGGGCTGACCTTTCTCCAGAGGCTCTTCCCTATATAATCCAGACATTTGGTTACCCTCCTCCCTCTTGTACTTTGGCCTCCTGGCTGCTGCACCTGGTTCTCCTTTCTCCCTTCCTCTCCCCTTCTCCCACATGGCCCAGCTCAGCCTGGTCAAGTCCACGCAGGACTCTTCCAGATACTCCTGCCTCTGACTATGCTTTCCCACACATCCACTATAAACTTTCTCCTCTACCATACCTAGGATTACTCATGTCCTTTCCTTTCTTTTTTCTTTTCTTTCATTCAGCCACCACTCCCTTTATTCCATTTCTTAAACTCTACCTCCTTGAACACAGGATTTAGTTCTATTTCACTTCAGGTGCTCCTTTTCTCAGTCTATACATTTTTTTTATTTGAGTAGCTTGCTCCTTTTCATTATAAATCTTCATTAAAGTTAACACTAATAACCACAAGACAGTCTATACTAGGCTGTTTTCAGATTTCCCCTGCAGATGGAATTCATCCAAAACTCTTCATTTTAGCCTCAGGCAGACTCTATGGAAAGGGCAAAAGGCAGCCAAATTCTTTACTAAAATATCACAAAACCAATCTCTACACTACATACTAACATTCTTGTCCTCAAAAATATCTTGGTCTAGGTACCCACAGTTCAGATCACATTCAGCACCACTGTCTTCCATGCTCTTCCTAGGATGCCCCATTAAGCAGCAACTAGAGCATTCAACTGCTTTTTCCAATCCATAGTCCAACTGCTTTTTCTAATCCATAGTCAAAGGTCTATAATCTTTTGGACAAAAGCATGATATGGCCTCTCACAGCAATACCCTGCTCCTGGTACCAATTTGTCTTAGTTAGGGTTTCTATTGCTGCAAAAAGACACCATGACCAAAAGCCAAATCAGGGAGGAAAGGTTTTATTTGGCTTACACTTTGACGTTGCTGTTCATCACTGAAGAAAGTCAAGGACAGGAACTCTAAGAGGGCAGAATCCTGGAGGTAAGATCTGATGAAGAGGCCATGAAGGGGTGCTGCTTACTGGCTTGTTCTCCATGGCTTGCTTAGGCTGCTTTGTTATCAAATCCAGCCCAGGGATGGCACCACCCACTATGGGCTGGGCCCTCCCCCACTGATCACTAATAACAAAATGCCTTATAGCTCGGATCTCATGGAGGCATTTCCTCAACTGCAGTTCCTTCCTCTCTGATGACCCTAGCTTGTGTCAAGTTGACACCAAAAACAAAATAAAATTAGAAATTTCTGAACATAAATTATTATTAAAAGTTCTGTATCCATGCTAACTCTTTATGTCTGAATTAAAATTATTTTTCATGGTGAAAGTAAATATTCTTATATAGAAATAAATAACATTTTAAGCTATTACAAAAGATTCAGGGCTGGAGAGATGGCTCAGAGGTTAAGAGCACTGGCTGCTCTTCCGGAGGTCCTGAGTTCAATTCCCAGCAACCACATGGTGGCTCACAACCATCTGTAATGAGATCTGGTGCCCTCTACTGGCCTGCAGTCATACAAGCTGTATACATAATAAATAAATAAATCTTAAAAAAAAAAAAAAAGAAAAAGAAAAAAAAAAGATTCAATAGAGACCTAAATTTCATACTGAGGGGTTTCAATAGATGCTAAGGTTGGGGTTAAATATCTCCTGCTTATTTGAGATCTGGTAAAGCTAAGTTGATCTGACACAGTTTGAATATTGTTAATGGACCCCTTATAATGTAGTTATTACACTGCTCAATTCCAGTCAGTTTGGCTAGAACAAAGGCCTAAAGGCTTACTGAGGACTGGGACAGCATGATTTCCACCGAAATCCAGCTTTAATTAGTCATCCAGGAGTAAGCTTCCCAGTCAGAGAGTCGGGATCCACAAGTAGCCTTCACTGGAAGGATTTAAACTTGACCTTTTTTCCAAGAGAAAAATCTATTTTTTCTGGCATATAAGATCATTATTTTTTAAGAATCTGGAATGATTTGGCAAAAATGTGGACATGTGGCCACAATATTTTGGAGACAGTGTAAACTATGTTTCCCTTAGGATCCAATGGCTATGTTATATGAAATGTCTGTAAAACAAAAGAACCCACTCTGGAGATCTAGTATTCCCTTCTTTAGATCTATTGTACAAGGACATTATCATTAATGATTGAAAAATAATCTAAAAGTCTAATACATTCCATGATTACTATTTAGTTGTGATAGATATTTTTAAATATTTATATCACTAACCAGTTGGGTTTTTTTTATGAGGATTATAAAAATCTACATTTAAGACAGAGATGCCTTGGCTAGTGCAACCCTTATGAACATCCTCCTAGACCTTATTTCTATCATGCTTATAGATTTCCTCAGTCACATGACCACATCTTGGTCACAGTTTATGCCAGAGAAAGGAATTGCTGACCATCAGGATCCAAACAGAGATATTAATCTGCATATTTTCTTTGTCTCCATGCTTGGTATTACATTCATTTAATCCCCTGCCTCAATAAACTAGACTAAAACTTTTAAAAGCATGTCAACAAATATAGAGAAAATATGAGGCAAGAAGTAATTGGAAGGGAACTAAGACTGAGGAGGAGCGAATATAACTTTATTCATTGATTATATCACTATAAAGGCAGAAAGTATCCAAATCTTCACCCTCCTGTCCTCAAAATGCAAGAGGAAAGGAGAACAAAACACACTGTACAAATCTACCTCCTCATACCAACGCTACTATTTTATTATGTATCAACTTTAAACAATCAGAATTTGATCACTTTTTGAATAGTCCCACAATATCTATGAAGATTATGCCACATGGTATAGTTTTCTGACATTGCTATGTGCTTTGAATTGCTTTGTGTTGCTGTGACAAGTACCATGAAAAAAACAATTTAGGCAAACAGAGTTAATTTGGCTTACACTTTCAAGTCACAATCCATCACTGAGGGAAGCCATGGTAGGAACTATGGAAAATCTGATTACTGGCTCATAATCAGTTAGCATTCTTATAGACTACACAAACCTGCATAGGGATGATGCTGCCCATCTTGGACTAGGAACTCCCAAATCCATCAAAAGTATCTCTCACAGACATCATTGAAGGCCTATCTGATCAATATAGTTTCTAAATTGAAATTCCCTCTTCTAAAGTGATGCTTGTTTTGTGTCAAATTATAATAAAAATCAATCAGTATACAATGACACCAAAGACATTGTATTTCCTAAAGTCCAGAAGAGGCATTGAATGCCTCGAATCTGTAATCAAAGACATTTGTGTGCCACCATGAGTGTGTCTGTTACTGAACCTGAGGTCTCTGCAAATACAATATTTACAACTGTTGAACCAACTTTCCAAACACTTTTAAAAGTCTAATTAAATATCAATTACACTTCCCTCCAACCCTTCCAATGTCTCCACAATACCGTATGAAATTGATGGCATGTTTTTCTTTATTATTGTTACATATATATTTATAAATGCAAAAATATGTGATCACAACCCCCTAACACCATTTTTATTATGGTGTATCTCCTTAAGATAGTCTCAGTAAGTTTATCTCCAGTGTGATTTCTCTCCTGGGGCTCATCAAAAGAAAGGCTCCTATAGGCTTGATTATATTATTCATTTCCACAGGGTTTCTCTGTAGGAAAAAATTCAAGTATCTGAAGTGACTCAGAACGACTGATACCTTTCCAGTGTTTCTGATGTGTAAAAGTTTGCAAAAACTTCCAAATATTCAGATTGTTTCCCCTCATTTGTCTTTGAGGAACACATGTAAGGATGAATGAACAATGTTGTTTCATACATGCAGTCAGCTTTCATACACTCTTATGAAGGGAGGCATGTCTTCATTAACCATATTCTCTGGAATTGTTTCATCATACTAACTATCACATTTATATCCACAGTCTTTCTCAACTACCTGAGTTCTTCAAAAAAATGAAAAGAGCATCACTGTAAACAAGTGAAGTGTTGGAGGCTGGCTGTGTGGACCACTGCAACAGTACTACTGCAGGGGCAAAAGAGTGCCATTACTGTTAAGGACAATAAAGACCCTGTCTTGCCGGGCGGTGGTGGTGCACGCCTTTAATCCCAGCACTCGGGAGGCAGAGGCAGGTGGATCTCTGTGAGTTCGAGGCCAGCCTGGGCTACTAAGTGAGTTCCAGGAAAAGCGCAAAGCCACACAAGAGAAACCCTGTCTCGAAAAACCAAAAAAAAAAAAAACCCTGTCATGTATAAAGGAGGAGAGTATTGACTTTACTTCTGTAAGAATTATAAAGGAGCTGTAACATTGGGTGAGGGGTTAAGAACAGTTCTTGCTCTTCCAACACACCAGAGTTTGATTATCAGCATTCATATGAAGACTCACAAGTTCCTATTACTCTTGGTCTGAATGATCTGCTGCCCTCTCTCTTCTGGCCTCCACAATTTTTTTTTTTCAGAGATGGGGTCACAAGCACACATACCCATAAAATAATTAAGGGGGCATAAAAGGAGTGAACATGCATGCAATGACATTTTTGCATTCTAAATACTCAGCCTGTGTTGGTTACTTAGTTACAAACTTCACCCAAGCTAGGATTATCTGAGAACAGGGACCCTCAATTGGGAAAATGGCTCAATGAGATCAGCCTGGAAACAAGTCTGTGGGAGCATTTTCTCATTCCTCATTGATGAAGGAGGGCTGTGCCCCTGCATAGGTGGGTATGAGTTTATAAGAAAGGTGCCTTAGTAACCTATGAAGGGCAAGCTAGTAAGCAGCATTTCTCCAGTCTCCAATTCAGTTCTGGCTTCCAGGTTCCCACCTATTTTTAGCTCCCACCCTGCCTTCTTTTGCCGAACTGTATGTAACATGGAAATGTAAGCAAAAATGAGCTCCACTGCCCCAAAAGATGACTTTGGTCATGGTGATTATCACAGGAACAGAGAGGACTCTACAATAGATTTGGCCCCCAGGTTCATGGGGTAATGCTTACAGAGCTGACCATGGTTTTAATGAGGACTGAGAGAATGCCTAGAATATTAAGCTGGAAAAATCACTGAATGCTCAGTTCTTAATGAGCTCTGAAGATAGCAATGCTGAGAACAATGAAAAGAGGGAAGTCTGGTTTATGTAGTTTCAGGAATGACAGATGGCTCACAAAAGACTCTACTGAGGCAGTTTCTGTGATATTTTATATTAAGACTGTGCTCTCTTGTCAGCTGGGCTTGAAAACTGAGCTGGGATTAACCAGAAAACAGCATCATTTAAGGGAAATATTAAGAGATTTCAGTTGGCACACAGACAAATGATCCAAAGGGTGCCAAGGCTGCATCTCAAATCGGCTGCAGAACATGGTAATTTATGAGCTTTTTTTCCACGCAGTACTGGTCTTGGCATCATAGAGCTGCAGGATTGAAGGGGTCTTGGAAAGAAACTCAGCCTAACACCACCAAAGGGCAGGGGAGGTCATTACTGAAGGTGCAGATTTAGTTGAATTGCAAACAACAGGATAGAAGAGGTTTAGGAGAAGCTGAGACTTGGCACAATATGGTAGGATGTAAGTCACTGAAGAGGAGCTAGGCCATTGGTGAAGAAGCACTGTGTTGAGCCTCTGGCATATTAGAGAGGCCAGTACCACATGGGAAGGTTCCCAAGGACTGAAACAACTGCGGGGTGAAATGAGTCTGAGACAATCAGCCAAGTTATATGTTCTGTGCATGGAGGAACTAAATGGCTGGATCATGCAAGAGACATATAAATCAAATAACTGTGAGTGAATCCCAGATATGGGGCTAGAGGTCACGATTTACACTGTAGAGCGAGGGTTTTGCTTTGATCTGAGTGAAAATTTGTTGAGGAATATTTAACTATGTAAAGATGTGTTACACTTATTTATGCTACAGAATATTACTCTAACTGTGTAAATGTGTGTTACATTTGTTTCTGCTGCCTTTGTTCAGGCTGTAAGGGTGTATTAAATTTGTTTATGCTCCATTTGTTTAATTATGAAAAGATGTGTTGCTGTTTCACCTTGCTTGCCTAAGGCACCTGATTGGTCTAATAAAAAGCTGAAACACCAATAGCTAGGCAGGAGAAGGATGGGTAGGTCTTGTGGGCAGAGAGAGTGAGGAGGAGGAGAAATCTAAGCAGAAAAATAGAAGAATAAAGGAAAGAATGAGATAGGAAGAAAGGGAGACACTTGGGGCCAGCCAGCCAGGCAGCTACCAACCAGCTAGACAGAGTAGGACATAGAGAAAGAAAAGGTAAAAAGCCCCAAGGCAAAATGTAGAAGAAGAGAAACGAGTTCATTTAAGTTATAAAAGCCAGAAATGAACATAATCTAAGGCCAAGTATTCAAAACTAACAACAAGACTCTGTGTCATGATTTAGGGAGCTGGTTGGTGCCCCAACAGAAAAAGCCTGGTACAGAAGTCAGCACTGTTTCTTTTTTTAAAAGGAGAAATAAAAACGTAGTTAAGATTTTTTAGGAACTTACAACAGAGATCTTTTGTTCTTTTAAAGAGATACCAAATTTTTAATGAGACTGAGCATTTAAAGTGCATGAGATTTTTGAATACCAGGAGACTTCTAATCTTATATTTTTCTTTATATATTTTTTAACCTATTTACTTATTTGTTTTGGGTTTTGGCTGTCCTTGAACTCAAAGATCCACCTGACTCTGTCTCCTGAGTGCTAGGGTTAAATGTGCATGCCACCACTACGTGGCTATATTGTGATCTTAACTATATTTAGGAACAAACAAAAAATGAAAGGTTATACATTAATAGTCATGTATTTGTGTGTCACATTGACAAGAAATCTACTGTGCTGGTTAGTTTTTGTTAACTCAACACAAGCAAGGACACACATCTGAGAAGACAGAGCATTAATGGCGAATATGGCTCTATCAGATTGATATTTAGGCATGTCATTGGGGGCATTTTCTTGATTACTGCTTGATGTGGAGTGGTCCAGCCCATTACGAGTGATATCGCCCTAGAGATGTGGCTATTGCTGAAAAAGGGAGGTATCTGAGTAAGAGATGAGGAGCATACCAGTAAACAGCACTTCTCCATCACCTCTGCTTCAGTTCCTGCCTCTAGGTTCCTGCCAGGCTTGAGTTCCTGCCCTGGTTTCCCTTTATTGTGGGACTGTGACAACGAAGAGTAAATAAAAATGAGCTCCATCCCAGAGTTGGTTTTGGTCACAGCAAAAGAAAGCAAACAAAACACAAGACTCATATTCAAAGCCTCAAAATAATATATAGAAAGGTGGTAAATACTTTTAGATATGAGAGGGAGGTTTTTTATAATTAACCACAGGTACAGCTCTTACAGAAATTTATGTTGAATCATATGTTGGTGATACTCATAGATTACATATATAAGATATTCAAATATTGAAAGACACAATTCAATGCTCTGTTACATAGATTTGTGTAGAATCATTTTTCACTTAGGTATATTTGGATCATTTGGCAAGTTCTCAGTTGTCCCATGGTTCCCAAACTTTTTATACGAATTGCTTTCTATTGAATATAAATTACTCCATATTTCTGCCAAGATCTTTGTAGCCTTCTTCAATATATTCTTCTGATAATTTCTCTGGAAGGGAACCAAAAAATTTCATTATGACATATTCAATATTAAACATAGATTTACAACCCAGGTGTCATGACATGGGTATGATCACTAAATTCACCACATATTTCCTTTAAGAATTCAAATCACACCACATCACACATAAGCAGGACACAGGTGTTCTCTGACTGAACAAGCAATGGGAGCATGTTTGGATGTTACCTGTAGAGATCAGGTTCAACAATGTTTCCTTCACCACATCCTTGCATGGCTTCTTTTGACTAGACTCCAACAAAGCCCGCTTCCCTAAAGTGAAGTTCACAGCCACATCCTCAAGGGTCACTGGTTCTTAAAACAGTGCACATCTTAGGATGGCTAGTTTTAACAGCCAGGCTGACACGACACAAAATCTTTTACCATCGATGTTACTGAAGACACCTTGTGGTGGTTTGAAAGAAAAAAGGGCCCCCAAAAGAGTGTCACCATGAAGAGGTGTGGCTTTGTTGGAGAGGGTGTGACCTTGTTGGAAGAGGTGTGTTACTGTGGAGGTTTTATATACTCAAGCCACATGCAGTGTCTCAAACAACTTTCTGTTGTCTGTGAGTCAAGATGTAGAATTCTCAGATTCTTCTCTATTACCACGTCTGCCTGCATGCTGCCTTGCTTTTAGCCATGATGATAATGGACTAAACCTGTGAACTGTATGCGAGCCAACAAAATTAAATATTTTTCTTTATAAGAGTTGCCATGATCATGGAGTCTCTTTACAGCATTAGAAACCCTAACTAATACATACCTCTAAGTGAATATGTACATATGTCTAACTGAAGACTATCTGTGGGATGCTATCTTGGTTACTTGATGTAATATAGGAAGACCCATTGACTCAGTTATTTTTCTAACACTGTGAACAAAAAAAAACACGACAAACCAACGAGTACAAATGAAAGCATTTAATCAGGACTTGCTTATACTTTCAGAGGGTCAGTCAATGATTATCATGAAGGGAAGCAGACATGCATGAAGCTGGAGCAGTGGCTGAATAATTTACTCCTTATTCAAAGGCATCAAACGGAAAGATGGCCATGTTGCCTCATATGGGCTTTTAAAGAGGCTTTTAAAACCTCAACGATCATCCCCAGTGACTCCATCTCCTAATATTTTCAAACAGTTCCACCAAGGTCTCATACATAAGAGCCTACAGTGGCCAATCACTTTGAAAACACTGTACCCACATATTGAGAAGCAACATTTTGTGAACTATATTGAATAGTAATTACATCACTGGGAGGATGTTGTGGAGACACGGACAAATACATCACTCTATTCCTGATTGTGTGTGATTTGCCCAGCCACTTCATTGTCCTTCATTTTATGGATTGCACCCTTCAATTGCAAGACAAAATAAACTCTTTCTGCCTTGTTACTTTCTCAGATTTGTACATGACAGCTAGACAAAAATCCTCATATAAGAACTAGATATGAAAAACTAGATATAAAAGTGGAAATATTATTGTAAATAAACCTAACCAGGGTCTCCTTGAGCATTTTAAACTTATTTTGGAAGAACCGTGCAGGAATTTGCAAGAAAAATTTCCTTAGACATGAAAAATAGTTGAACACACTGAACACAAAGGTGAATAAATCATTCTAAGAGATGCTTAAAGAAATATCTAGAGAGGAGGCATGGATCAGAAAGTTTTGGTGGGCAACAAGGACTCTGTCTGGAACTACAGTAAAGGCCATTGCTGTGCTACTATAGTCCAGAACATAACTTCATTCAGCCCTTTATCAGAGAACTTGAATGTGGAGTACTTTAGTAGAGGAAAACAATGTGAATAATCTAAAATTTTAAACAAAAGGAGCAGCTGGAATTGATAACAAGTTTAGTACTATCCGGGGGACAATAGTAAAGCCGGGAACACAGGGGAAACTGAGCAACCTGGAACTCTACTTGGTTTGGGCTCTGAACACAGCCCTCTCTGAACAATGAAGCTAGCAACCTGTGGATATGCTTCTTGGAACAATCATCTTTAGGGGGCTGTATCTATGTATGCTTTAATAATAGTAACAAGTTAGTTCCTTTAGAAATGCCTTAGTTATTCCTTACTGTATTCCAAAACCTTTTGGAAAACATATGGGAAATAGGCTGACCTACAATGAAGTATCTTGATGTACAAATGGAATGAGGCAAACTGTGTTCCAAAAATGAGTGTTCAAGATAATATCTTCTTTTTCGGTTGTTACAATTTGTCTTCTAAATAATTGGGCCTGCATATTTTTAAAATCAGATGACTATTGAGAATGTCATGTGCAGTTAGCAAGGTTTACAAAATGTCAGTCAAAACATTGATCTATGTGCATGCTATGTGTCTTAGCAAGCAATTTTTCTTTCAAAGCCACCCAAGATAACTGACACTTTTGAGTACCCTTAGTCAAGTGGCCTGCTGACACCTTTCACTGCATATTTCTATGTACTATTGTACTATGCCTTTGCTTTAAGTAAAGTAACCCTTCTCTAAACAGGAATTAAAGGAGACCCCTCCTACGTAGTGGGGACTCCTTCCTGGACCCTAGATTAGGCTCAAACCACACCCAAACACCAGTTTTCACACAGAGATCCCTTAGTAAATGGAGAAGAAAAGTTAAAGTGGCTGCTTTCAGGCTCAGGCAGAAAAACAAAAACAAAAACAGCAGCAAATGACCTTGCAGGTGTAATTTTTAAGATGAGAAAAAGGGGAGGTCTGTGTTAAAATGGGCTAGGATGTGGTGGTATGTTTTGGTTGGGCATGTTAATTAGGTGAACCAATTGGGGCTTTTGATTGTTAGACTTCAATACTTTGGTAGCTGGACCTTGGTCATCAGCCTCAGGAGGAGGAAGGGGGCAAATGGGGGAAGAGACCTTGATGGCTATTTTTTGAAATGTAATCTAGTGGTTTTTAGCAAGACAGAGGGAATGGGAAAGATGGGCAAAGTCTACCAGAGACATGCTTGAGCCAACCAGAGTCCCTTCAGGAATACCCCACCCAGACCCCAACAACCAATTAAATACTTTAGGTAGGTAGAGGGAAGTATATAAATTTTACTCTCATAACTAAAAATTTCCTTCACTGCTTCCTATACCTTTAGGTTGTGATATTTATGTCCTCAAGGCTTAGCCAACTAATCAGTTTTGGCAAAAACAATCATCAACCTGAGGCCTCCATGTCCTACAAGTTGGCTGATACTGAACTGCCTCTGTCAGGTTGTTCACCAGGATTGGATACATCAATATAAATATGAGAAAAGTGGATTAATATGTGACTCTGCCAAACCACAAACAATGCAGGACTCCTCAGTGTCAATTTAGGACAATTCCTCTGGCCCAAGTCTCCAGCCTCTTGGAACTGATGGAGAATGTTTCGTTTTGTCTTTGTCTCCTCTGCTTTCTTTTTCTTCCAGTGTCACTCAGAACATCAGCTGGAAACAACTGCAATCTTACTGAGTTAATACTACACAATTACAATCATCTATGATAAATATGAATATTGCATTTTTGTAGAAGTTCACTGGACAAAGACACAGCGAAAGAAGAGGACTCTCATTGAGATGAACTCAATTTCACAAAAAAAGTATTCTACAATTCACGTACCAAATTCTAAAATTCCCGAAACACTTGAGATCGAGTCAGTTAAAAAAACAGGCAGAATGAGATTGGTCTTCATGAAGGCCACCCCTAGGTAAGAAGGTATTGGCAACTGATGGCTTTGAAGGGAAAAGAGTCGGGTTTTTTGTTTTGTTTTGGTTTGGTTTTTTTCAGGACAAGGCCACTAGTATGTTTCCCATGCCCTGTAGATGGCCACACACACTTGGACAGCAGTAACTGAACTCGGTGTGTAATAAAAAACAAAAACAAAAAACGTAAATTAAGAGATGGCTGCTGGGGGTGTAAGGCATAGAGTTGATTAAAATACATCACTTATATGCAGAAAATCCCCCCAAAATAAACATATTTAAGTGGGTTTGTTTGGATTTTTCTGAACAAAACATTAAAACAGATGTCTGTAGGGCTAGGATATGGGTACGCATGATAAAGGTTGCCATGCAAGTCTGAGGACCTCAAACCCGCTCAAGGATGAGGAAAAGTGAATACTTAGTGTTGGTGGAAGTTTAAACTGCTAATAATTAACAAGTGAATAACTGTGAGTTTACCTCAAAAGTAAAATACAGAATTACCATTTCAACAAACTATGCATCTCTCCACATATAATGAAGAGTCCAAACATCTACCACAGATACATGCACACATATGGCCATTGTTGATCTACTTCCAATAACTTCCAATCAGCTGATGTCCACAGAATGGAAATGTGGCATATAAACATATTGGAATTTGACTCTAAAATGAAGAATGTTGAAATGAAATTTACAAGCAAATAGATACACCTATAAATGTAATTACACTGAACCAGGTGTTGAAACCACACAAAGTCAAAGGCTGTCTGCTTTTCTTAATACATATGCTTTCTTTAACCTTTTCCTGTATGATTCAAAACTAGACTGAGTGTCCATAGTGAGCATGAAGAAGAAAGGTTCCATGAGATCTGTGGGGAGGTGGAGGTGGAACAGGCACAGTAGCAGGCTTGTGATGTGCAAGTGGAGTGGTAGATACAGTAGGATTGAAAGAAAAAAAGTATGGGAGAGGGAAGAGAGGAGGAGTTTTAGTATCAAAATGCAGGGTTATTCTCAGCTTTGCAGTGATTTTCAGGACAGACTGTTGGTACAGGATTGTTCCTCTCTAAAAAATACAATCCAGCATTGAAGTACAAGCCTTTAATCCCAGAATGAATGATACTTCAGAGGAGGGTGATCTATGAGACCAAGGCTAGCCTGGTCAAGAGAGAAAGTTCTAGGGCAACACAGAGAAACCCTGTCACCAAAATCAAACCAAACCAAAAACAAATAATAATAAATTATATATTAAATATGAATTAAAAATAAATACACATCAAAGTAACCACAAACACAGGAGTAATAAATATATT